GAACTATAATAATACGAGAGTTTCTATTATTTTAGACAATGTGTGAGATTGTTTGTTAATAATAAAAGATAATAATGTGAAATTATTTTTCAGAAAAAGGGAATTATGTGAAAAAAAAAAAAACTTCCCCCCAATAAAAGGCCGAAAACTAGCAGAAGACTTTGGAATTAGCGAGCAAGCTGTCTCTAAAATTCTCAAAGCTCTTCACATTGGCTACGCCTTGAACCAAAATCAACTGCCGCAAGATTCAAACGCGATCGAAAAAGCATCTTTCCCGAAATTGAAGAAGCGATGATAATTTGGGTTGATCAGGCCATTGCTCAAGGGCTTACGCTACAAGAACATATGGTTCAAGAGAAAGCAAAATGGTTTGCTGGAAGACTTGGTGTTCAAGCCTTTAATGCTTCTGATGGAGGGCTTGCAAAGTTTAAAAGACGAAATAGACTTAGCTCATATAAACGAAGAGGAGAATCGCCAAGTTCCCCAATTGAAAAAATTCCACGATTTCGAGCAGAATTGCAAGAGGTTCTTCATAAGTATTCTCCAGAAAATATCTTCAATTGCGATGAGACGGCGCTTTTTTGGAAACTCGAGCCAAGTCGAACTCTCGCTCATGGACCTGGAAAGAAAATGTCTAAAGATCGTGTTAGTATTATGGTAACATGCAGTTCAACGGGAGAAAAATTGCCTTTACTATTTATTCACAAATACAAACTCCGGTTGCTCTTCGAGGAATTGATAAAAATACCCTTCCAGTATGGTATTACTTCAATAACAAGGCTTGGATGCAAAGATCGGTCTTTGCTCATTATCTCAACCGACTTAATAGCATAATGCGTAGAGCCAATCGGCATATTCTTCTTTTAATGGATAATGCCAAATGTCATGAGACGAAAAACCTTGAAAACTTTTTCTAATGTTTGAGTTTACTTTCTTCCTCCTAATACAACATCATATTTACAGCCAATAGACCAAGGAATTATTTAAGCTTAAAGATATTATAATTAGTGTCATCATCACTCTGCGTATTTTTTCTGTTCAAATATTTCCTACTGTATATCTTATAAAATTGTATTCCATTTATTGCCAGATGCATTATCGACGAATCTTATGTCAAAATCGACTTGAAGCTTATGAACTTATTACTCCTGAATTTCCTATTCAAGTTCACTTACCATTCGATTGAAATTTCCGCCGCCCCGCCTGGGATTCTGTAACACAAACTACGATCAAAAATAGGTGGCATCGTACAGGTATACTTCCTCCTTCTATTACTATAGCTTGCGATAATGATCTAGTAGCAGTTGATCCACTCTCTGATGATGCTGAAGCTGAACAAGAACTCATAGTCCTCATTGACCGAATGCAACATATTTCTGATCCCATGACCGTGGAAGAGTATATTCTGGTTGATAATCAAGCTGTGAGTAAGGAGCAAATGACGGATGAGGAAATTGTCAAGTTCATAAACAGTGAAGATACTCAAGAGCCAGAGAATAATGAAGAGTCTAAATCCTTGATAAACGTAAAGGAAGGGTTAGCGAATGTGGTAAAATATTTACAACACAATAATCTCGGGGGAGTCGATTTTGTGACTAAAAACGTTAAATAGTTTAAAGCATCGATTTCTTCGAAATGATATTGAAAACAAGCACCAGTCTAGCATTATCCAATACTTTCAGTGAAGTTTGCGATCTTTTTCTTCAGCTTAAAAACTTTTACTGCTTTTCCTTGCGTGTTAATACGAAATAAACCGCTTTTTAATCAAATTCACTATAGTGTATGTCACATGATATATTATTAAATACACTACAGTCATACCTCGTTTATATCCCCACTTTGGGACCCGAGATTTTTGGGGATATATCTGAGGTTGGGATATAAC